ATGGATATACCTGAGAAAGGGTTTGACCATGTCAAGGATTTGGATCTATTATAGATTGGAGAGTGTGTAAATCTTGAAATTATGACACAATAATCAATTTGAAGGAATACATGGCATTGGTTATATCAATGGAGAAATTTTACAATACTATATAGTATTGGTGCTATAGGTTTTTATCTTTATGGTACAATTTAAAATTGTACATTTATGTTACGGTACAACTTCAGATTGTCCCTATACTTTTTGTACAAATTCTTTTATGGTACAACTTGAACTTGTATCTTTATGTGATAGTACAATTTCAGGTTGTAAAGTTGTACCATAACATAATGGTACAAATTGTTTTATGGTACAACCTAAACTTATACATTTAATGTTATGGTACAACTTTGAGTTGGACATTAAAGCACCAATGCTATATAGCATAGTAGAAGTGCTTAATGGTTGACAGAATTAGCCATTGCAAACCAACCCTTGTCGAGCATATATATTATTTGTGGTGCATATATATTAATCAAAGAGCGACTTTTCTCTATAGGTTACACAATTATTATCACAAAGTTGGAGTGGACAAATAGAAAACCAGATAAATTAGGTACATAAATCTATTTTGTTGTAAAAACAAAAATAAATCGATCGAAAAAAATTCGTTCTAGTATATAATTTGACGCAAACGGATATCATGAGCTTGAGCTTCGCCATTGCAAACCATCCCCTTGTCGAACATACTCACTGCAAAGAAACATGCCTCATCAAAAAGACCATTCGTAGAAACTCATAGCTAGGTCGACCACCATATATATACATCATCAACGGCTGTTTTTGTTTTTTCTATCTTAATTGGAATGTTTGAAATGCAAGTGCAACTGCTAGACTTAACTTGATTGGCCAGGAAAAGAGAGATTATCTACCTTTGCAGAGTCGGGTCGGGTCGGGTCAGATCGGGACAACGCAGCATATAGGAAAAATCTGGCCTATCACAGCCTAACATTGTATGCTCTTGTTTGCCCTTCGACGCGTGTTAACCCTAGGACACGTGTAACGTGGCGATCCCTTCATGTCTCCCCTTAATTATCGCCTCCACAGCTCCCCACATCTCTCACTAACCCCCACCTCCGCCGGAGAAAGAAAGCATAGGGACAGAGAGAAACAAACAAGCAAAGAAAGATGAGAGAGATGAACCGCGGTGGAGAATCATCAGCCATGATAAGCTGGTCCGCCATGAACAACCCTACCACCTGCAGATCCGGCTTCAGATCGGTGCAAGACGTCGGTCCGGCGATCATCAACCGGCTCATGCTCCGCTTCCGCCCCATCGCCCCCAAACCCTCCCCCACCTCCGCCGCCCCGGAACTACCCTCCTCCGCCGCACCAAACAGTACTCACACCCCCAGAAAGAGACGGAAGTACGATAGATCCCAGATGGCCAAAAGAAAGGATACCTCCTCCTCACCATCATCATCGTCGTCAACATCATCTTCATCTCCTAAACCCTCAAACGACTTCGTAACGCTCCAGCTCCTCCCGGAGAACAACCATCCACGCGCGGCAAGTGACCATGCGCCGACGGCAAAGAAACAACGACGAGCAGCTCAAGATGACAAGTCGTTTCCACCGTCGGGGTGCCGCAACCTAGATCTCGCCGTGTCCACGTCAGCAGATCTGATGTCGTGGCGGCGGGAGAATAAGGTGGTGGAGGAGTCGTGGGTGACGGTGGAGTCGAGGGCGGAGATCTCGTCCTCGGACTTAGCTTACTGCACGGGTCTGGAGGAAGTGAAGATGCGTTTAAGTGTTGACACGTGTCCGGGGCTTGTAACGGACGGCTGCAACCGGGTGGTGTGGGTGAACGGCGCGTACAGGAGGATGGTGGGGATGATGACGGCGGCCGCCGCCGTGAGGGTGGTGATGAAGGACGATGAGGTGGCGGCGTGTTTTGGCCGGGAGATTGGAGGAGGAGCGTACACGTGTTGGGTGAGGGTGAGAGGGGAGACGTGGAGGAAGGAGATGGTGCCGTGTGACGTGTGGCGGCTGGAGGACGGTGGGCTTGCATGGAGGCTGGACGTTGAGGCCGCACTCACCCTTGGGCCGGGTTAGAATGCGTAGTTAAAAGGGTTGGGGAAGTATTTTCAAAAGACACTAATCGCTGTTCCAAAACCATACTTAATTAAAGCAAGGAAATTAGCTAGCTTTATATGCATATGGGAAGTAATTGTCCTCCTTGAGAACAAGAGGATGGGTTTTAGCGATTTCGTAGTTGATTTGTAACCCGGAGATGGTAGGCCGTTTGAGTTTCAGGGTATACTTGTTTTGTTATGCAGACTCTCTTCATTAACATGTAAAAATAAATAAACCAGTCTTCGTTTCTTCTCAATAGTGTAGCTATAGGAGTGACCAATCTTCCAAACCCATCTTTAATTTGTCTGTTGATCGAAAAGGACCACGCTAGCTCAACGATAAATACGAGAGGGATGGATGAATATCCATGAGGTGCCAGATAGTAGCGAGTCCAAGAGTTATATTGGGGAATCTGATCTACATATACCAAAAACTAGACTGGTGGAATTGTCGAGACTAGCAAATATGTGTTTCCCGCCCGCTTTATTGGAGGGTTCCCATGTACTTTCAAGGCCTCTCTATCAAATCTGGAGAGGTTTATTACTGTCTCAAAGATATCAGTAGCACAAAATGTATGTTTGCGTCCTAAAAATTGCGGGCTATTATATGATGTTTTATCATGCATTCATATATACATGTCGATTGAGCACTGTTATTTCATCTCGAGTCGGGTGGTTGGCAATGTTCACAATGAGTATTCTGGCATTTATTAAATAATCTTCTCTCGGGCAGGTAGGTCACTTAATGGACTTGAAATGATGTATATTTTTTTTGTCTCGTGTTTAAATCTATTGTTAATAATGGACTTATCAACAAATAGTGATGCGATTTGTTTCACAGTTGAGGATCATGACATGGTGTTAAGAACTAGCTAGAACCCGATAATTTGAATATTGAGAAATGACAAGGTTCTGTAATGAAATTCTTACATAACTTCAAACTTTATGAATGTGTATTTGCTCGTTGAAATCAAACTTATTTGATCACAATGTGGTGGACGTGAAATAATCTATTTGCTTCAAATAACTGGGCTATTAATATTGCAATCAAATATGGTTGAATTCGCCAATATACTTAAGAAATTTTACCATGTGTTTCTTCTGTCTTTATTAAATTATAGTAAAAATTCTGAACGTAAATAAAGTATATTCATTAGTGAAGTTCAAAAACTCAATAGAATCAAAGGTTTGCCGATTTTACTATCTATGATTCTCCACCTCTTTCAGTTTACTTGATCATCAATATTGAAATGATGACTCGTGAGTATTCAAATACGAGATTGTTGCTCAAAAAATTCCGCTATGTCGATAATTATTTCATATCAATAACTTGAATTATTCTAGAATGCTAAACTTATAAACTTTGTATTGTTTTTAGTTAATGATTAATGGACAACGCCAAATAGAACTTTAGGCTTCCTATTAGGGGTGGGCATTGGGTGGGTCGGGTGGATTTGGACCATAAAATGCACCCACCCGCGTTTAAACGGATTGATAATTTTTAACCCACCACCCACCCACATTTAGCCTCGGGTTGGGTTGGGCGGATGGTGGATGATTTGGGTGGGTTTGTGGGTTCATCCACATCACAATGTATATAATATAAAGGAGTCAACTTGACATGATAATAGGCGAAGAGAATTATATGGGGAAACAAGAAGATGAAATAGGGTGAAAAATGTCGAATTAGTTCTTAAAATGTTTAGAAATTCTATGATGAAAGAGTTTTCTACAGATTGAGATGATTATCAGGTGCAAGGAACTAAGAAAAATAATTCCAGAAAGGAAAGAGCAGTGATCTAGGCACAAGAATTAGAGAAAAAAATAAAGGGAAGAAGAGGGGATCGCTATTTGGAAGGTTGGCTTTGAGGTTCAAACTCCAGGAGCAGTCCTAGTTTATGTCTAACGTCTCCACTCTCCCCTCTCTAGCGCCGACGACTTTGATCTTTTTGCTGTTGGGTTGAGCGGGTCACCCGCGCACCCACCCACAACCCACCCACCACCCGGCGGATGGCTCCCAGCGCAACCCGTCACCCACCCATAGACCCACCCACTTAACGAAATTCGGGTCAAATGCGGGTGGGTCGGCCCAAACCCGCGGATGATCCGTCCGCATGCCCAGCCCTACTTCCTATTATTTATTGGGAAAAAGGCTATTTTCAAGAGAAAATAATTTCATGAAGGTCTAGCTACTAATGTTTAGTGGGCTCGTTAACATGGAAAAGCCCAACATTGGCAGTCAACATCGTGCGGGAAGCCCATCATTGTCATTAGTGCTCCAATGGCTGGCGGACATGTCAGCCCAAAAGCCTAGTTATCATCCTCTGTAGTTGAGATGATAACAAAGGCCCAACAGACCCTTTTTCGTTTAACCCAAAAGGCCAAAACTAGATTAAGATCTTCATGGTCATTTTGTCATTGGTCAACAAGGTGGCTAAGCCCTATCTGATACTTTCCCATTCCAATGTAATCAATTAATTTTGTCCATTACCACTTTCTATGGGTTTCCTACTTCTACTCTAAGCATAGTGAGTAGTTTGTTTCCCTTGGGTATCTCCGGACTCCAATGTTCTTTTCTCCTATCTAGCTTATATATTAACTGCATAATAAGTAATTAATTCATCAAATGATTGACCAGACAAAACAAATGACACGAGATCAGCTTAATTATTAATTACTTAATAATAAAACAATTAAAAACGGATTTAAACCGTACCAGATTCGCATCCCCGCCATAAAAACAGCCGGTCACGAAATCCGACGGCTGATATCGGAACAGCTCTTCACCCGTTGGATCACACGGATTAAACATCCAACGGCCCGCATTCATGCGTGGAGTCCTCGTATAAATTTGGAGTCAGTGGCAACATTGTTGCTCTTTTCCCATTTTGTCAAATTGGGAAGTCATAAATTCGACTTTCGTTTTCTTCTCCACTTTCTCTCTCTTCTCTCTTCCAATAGCGCGTCGCGTCGCTCTTGCCGTTCGCTAGGGTTCTTCGATTCGATACTGTGTGGAGTGTGGGCCGCCGCCGCTTCCGCTGCTGCTACTGCTTGGTCGACGAGGAGCCGAATTGTATTGGAGCTAGCTCGCCGGGGTTGGTGTGGTTCGCTGGTTCGGCGGCTGCGCCTTTTCGATTTAGGGTTTCGTGTTCTTGGTTTTCAGAAGGGGTGGGAGTTTTTAGGGTTCGATTTGGCTGAGACGTGATCCTTTGTTGAAGTTTGAACTCGAAGCTTGGCTCTCGCGGTGGAGGTTTTGTGTTGGGAGGGAATATAAGTAGAGCAAGAGACAGTTTCTGGTAATTGAATTTTGGTTCTCGTTGATTGAATTCGAGCTATTGGTTCCTCTTCGCTGAAAGCTTATAAAGGGGTTTGCTTTCTCTCCCTTTTGCGCTTTTCCGGTGAATTTTACTGCTCGAATTCACTTTACTGCTCAAATTCACATTCAAGCTTTTCAAAGGTTTTCGTTGATTTGAAGCTTATTGCCCTCTTCTTCTAGGTCAATTTTCTTCATGGATTCGCCTGTTATTTCTCAAAATTGGTACTTGTGGTGTTCTGATTCTTTTGTTTTGTTTTTCTCTTGTGTAGCGTTTCAAATTTTAAGTGTTCATAATGATTTTTATCGGGCAGGAAACTGGTTTTGTTCCTTTTATATTTTCCAATGTGTTTTTACTTGTAAGAACGAATTTTTCGACTTTGGTCTGATGAAATGGAACCTTTTAATTGAGTGAACCTGAGGATACCCTTTATTACACATGACTTATTCATGCAGAAGGCATTTGTCGAGTGGATAGGATGGGGAAAAGTGAAAATTTCCGTGATGCTTACTACCGCAGCAGCTCATTTGGGGCAGCTGGTGCTTTTGAGAGATCAGCAAGTTCTGGACAAATTGATATGGAGATTACTGCATCTGCAAATTCTAGTGCTCCAGTTAGGAAATTCTTGAATCTGAATTCCAGTAAAAGGGATACTTTTGGGGTCCCTACACAAGTCCTGTCTCCTGCCCAAATGTCTCCATTGGAAAGAAGAGATATTATCCGAAGATTGAGATCTGAGCTTGAACTCGTTCGGGATGTCCAGAAGAACATTGTAGTGGAGAGAGGTGTTGGAAATGTCTCTTCATCTAACCATGTTGTGAATGGTACCAGTAGACCAAATGGGGCTGTAGCAGGAAATTCCAAGAATTCCTCAATTGTTTCTTCTGGAGCGGGGAATAAGGGAAGTGCCATGGGAAAGCTGAAGCCACAGCCTGTGAAAGCACATGCAACACAAAATCCTGGAAACTTAATCTTGATCAGACAGTGTGTGAATTTGTTGCAACGTTTGATGTCTCATCAGTTTGCTTATGTCTTCAATATTCCTGTGGATGTTGTCAAGTTGAACATCCCTGATTACTTCACTATTGTCAAGCATCCTATGGACTTGGGAACAATTAAGAGCAGACTTATGTCAGGCTTGTACTCAAGCCCATTGGAATTCGCCGAAGATGTCAGGCTGACATTCAGCAATGCTATGCTGTACAATCCAAAGGGGAACGATGTTCATCTCATGGCTGAGAGCCTTAAAAAGTTTTTTGAAGTGAGATGGAAAGCCATTGAGAGAAAGTTGCCGAAGAAGGTGCCCAAACCTCAGCCAGAAAATTCAGCTCATCGCAATGATTTCGATGCTGCTCAAATGCAATCTATTAAGAAGAGAAAACTAAGCCCATCCAAGCATGAAGCTATTGTGGAACCAGTGGAGCGGTTAGTTTCCGCGGATGAGATAGCCAAATTGGGCTCAGAGCTTGAGTCATTGTTGCCTGAAATGCCTATGCATATCATTGATTTCTTGAGAGAGCACAGCAATGGTGGACAAGATGCTGGTTTAGATGAAATAGAGATAGACATTGATAAACTCAGCGATGACACATTACTCGCTCTGAGGAAACTCTTAGATAATCATTCCAAAGAGAAGACAGAGAAGCAAGCTAGAGTGGAGCCTTCCGAAATTGAGGTACTCTACACAGTGATTATTTTTGTTGTAATAGTGTACCGTTGTCTTTGATATAGCATAATCTTATTGTCTTCCTTTTTTCTAGCTATTGAATGTCTCAGGCCCAAGCAATTCATCCTTGCAACAGCAAAGAGGTATATTTCCATTCTTATTATCTTATTGATTTGACTTTGCTATGAACTTTCTTGATGGTGGTGTTCATGTATTAGGTAATGACCTAGCAGATGAAGATGTTGATATTGGTGAGAATGAGCCTCCTGTGTCTAGCTATCCTCCTGTGGAGATAGCGAGTGATATAGGCCGCGAGAGCAACAGAGTTATGAGTTCAGGGAGCTCTAGGGGTAAGTTATACAGCTCTTTTGTTTGTTTTGTCTGGAGTATGATTTTATTTGTTATCACTTGAAAATAGTGTTTTGCTGAGCTTGTTGCAAGATTAGGTAGTAAAGGTCTTCTTTATTTTGGTGTGTAGCCTGATTCGCTGTTTAGCTATTATACAACCAGAGAGAGTTGTTTCCGCTTCTTGTAATTTTATCAGGCTCTTTATATATCTTACTAATTTATTTCCCCTCCCTCTCTTCATACTCAGATTCTGGCGGTTCTTCTGAAGTTGAATCTGATCATGTGAAACCTTCAAGTCGATCACCTGTGTCTAAGGTTGGCAACTATTTGGAACTTCTTCATGGTCGGTTTGTTTAAATGAGAACAAAAGGGTGTGCACCGTAGCTTTGGTGGCTTTTGCAGAACTTCGAAATGATGTCTGGCGAGGTTTTAATTCCTGCCGAACTTGATTCGTATTTACTAGGTTCCGGATGATATGGTTCTTGGAGGTCAAGCTGATGAGAAGAAAATTGGTGATCATCCCCTGGATAGAAATCGTGAGTCCTCTGTTTGGAATAATTGAATGGGTTCTTGTGCCTGGAAGCTTGATTTGGATCAAGGCTAATCAAGAATTTCGTTTGGAATTAGTTGGATGCGAATAGGTCTAGGTCATTTGCAGGTTTCTGAAACAGGTGGTCCATGGGTATTTAACTATTTATTTTTGTAACGAAGTTACTGTCTCATCTGTTTCTATGGTTAATTGTGGAAGGATCCTTTTGTGATTTGTTGAGGTGGTATTGCCCCCTATTGGAATTTTCTCTGATAGAAACCTGTTTAGCAGAATCTGACAGTGGGTTAGATCAGTTGGAGGAGAACTCTGAAGAAAAGCCTGGGTCAGATTATTCGGATGGTCATCAAGATGGTAAGGATGAGGGTGTGGAAGAGGAGATAGCTTGGATGTTATATTGCAGGTTGTATAACACTGATGAGTTCCATAATTGTCACAGGAGAAAGTGCCCCTAGTGGGAGTCAGGAGTTCCCTCATAAGGATTATAGGGCGGCTATGATCAGAAACCGTTTCTCTGACATGATACTGAAAGCTAGAGAAGAGAAGACCCTCTTACAGGTAAGAACACTTTATTGGCTTATTCTACTCTTATCAAGTAGTTAAGTTGCTGTTACTCATGCTTATGGTCTCCGTCTCTATGTTGTTGGTATCAGGTTGACAAGGTGGATCCAGACAAGCTGCAGAAGGAAAGGGAGAAACTAGAGTTGCAGAAAAAGAAAGGTTCCTGCGTTCGATCTTTGATATTTGTTTCTGTAGTCAATAAAGCTATTGGTTATACATTGTTGGTTAATAATTTTTTGGATGACATATGGAATGTTGGAGTTCCAGAGAAAGCGAGGTTACAAGCTGAAGCAAAGGCTGCCGAAGATGCACGGAAGCAAGCCGAGGCAGCTGCAGCAGCCGAGGCCAGACGGCTGTTGGAGGTTGAAAGAGAAGCAGCACGTCAGGCGCTGCTCAAGGTAAGGATGTGCCAGATCTCTGCAAGAGCCTCATGATAATTTCAGAGAGTACTAATGAAGGGTGCTGCGCTGTGTTTTCTGCAGGTTGAGAGAACTGTTGAAATCAACGAGAACTCCAAGTTCCTTGAAGACCTAGAGATGCTTAGAAGTGCCCCTGCCGAGCAGGTACCAAGCTCTGTGGACGAAGTGAGCCCAGATAACTCTCCGGATGGGTTGGGTGGTTTCAAGTTTGGCGGGGACAGCAATCCTTTGGAACAGCTTGGCTTGTTTAGGAAGGATGACGAAGAGGAGGAAGAAGGCGAGCCTTTGAGCGTTCCACAGGAAAGTTTCAAGTTTGGTGGGGACAGCAATCCACTGGAACAGCTTGGCTTGTTTAGGAAGGACGACGAAGTGGAGGAAGAAGGCGAGCCATTGAGCGTTCCACAGGAAATGAATGATGTGGAGCCTGAAGAGGGAGAAATAGATTAGGCCCTCAATGGATGGACTAATTTAGTGGATATCTATGCAGAAACAAAAATGAAAAAAAAAAAAGAAATAGAAAAGAAAACGCTGGACACTTTGCAGCTGCTTCAGCTGTGAGAGATCTGCAACTGTGAGCCAAGTATAGCAGTCAACTTGTCCGTGAGAGTCGAGTTTCAATGCAGGGTGAATCTGGCTGCTACCCCTCAGAGGTGGACGAAAGGACTCAGATGGTTGCAGAAGAATAGTTCTGTTCTTGCTCTCATGGATGTATATATAAATGCAGTTTTGCCTTGAGCTTTTGGAGAAGTATTGTTGCTCTTTAAGTTAAATCCACAGCCTGAAGAAGAGATGCTTTGGAAAGGCCGGTACGACGATGGAGGAAAGAACATTGCTTGCATACATCCTCTGCTTTGGATTGTCGAGCCGAGTCTATTGGACTGGAGACTTGCAGTGTACTGGAGAGAATGACTTGGTTTTGTGATGTAAGAGTTAGGCGGAGAGTGAATGTCTTATGTAAAAAGTAATTTCGTAGTGTTTGGTTCAATAGAATAACCTTTTTCTTTTTTGTTTGTGCGGCAACAGCAGAAGCAGCTAGTATCTTCAATCAATTTCATTACTAATTACTGACTGAAGCAAAAGTAAACCTTGTCAACAGTAACCAGAAAGATCTGGTAATAGCCTTGTCTTCTGTTGGGATTGTGATTACCTTTTGAGAGTAACAAGTTCTCGATCGAACAATAGCTGCTATCACAAAATCGCAATGGATGCTCGACGAGTCTCCCGCCACTGTTCTAAACGAGGTTCGAGCTGGATTGTTGTATTCCAAGTATGTGGAATCCTAGAGGATCGTAGAAGTTCCAATCCACACTACGTGTTAGGTGTTAAGTGTAACGAGGTTGATTGTACAACAAAAATCTTGTTTTATAAAATCTAATCTCCCTTACATAAAGAACACAACACAAAAACTTTACGTAAAGAATTCAAAACAAAAACTCGAAATGTTGAAAATTCTTAGTATATGGACTTCCTTGTAAAAAGTACTAGAATCAATACCTGCGGCGGCTACGCAACGCCGCAGGAACTAAGTTGCAGCCGAATGATTATATGATGGTCATTAAGGTGACGGTAAATTAAGATGACGGTAAGTTGTACTAAAGTTGCAACATCATAGGAATTAAAGTTCCAGTCGAATGATCATATGGTGGTCAATTAGTTTGTTCAAAAGGTTGCGGCCTGCGTGTAAGAGTTTCTTACTGAAATCTTACAAACCTCTGTTCAGTTATGCACGTGCATCTCTTATTTCCTCGTTTTTGTCCCCAAATTTGCAGCAACATAAACTCAGTTTTAAATCTCAAGTTCAACATTGGACTTTTGCACTTGCACTTTTTTTTTGTTTGTCCTTCCATCTGTAATCTTGACCTTCCTACTGATAACTAACTTCGTTGGCTAGCATAATCTCATCAACGTCTGATGTTTCCATCCAGAATTACCACGACTTCTGTACCCCTACTGCCGTTGCAGCTCCTTCTACCATTTGATGTCAGATAGTGAAGGTATCATATGATGAGCTGAACGCCTGTAAGCCCGGATGTTGTCTTTGCAAAGAAGAAATTCACGTCAGCCCAAGTTGAACTGCAGAGTTTTTCATAAAAGATTGAGACCGAGATTATTTAGTTGGTATAACGGATGGATAGATGAACCTTACTAAATGTATCTCTTTGTTCAGGTTTATTGCTTATGGTTTGGTCCTCTGCTTTTCAGTGCCAATATCTGGCCTCCCCACAAAAAACCATGCTTTGAACAATCAAGTCAGAGATGAACCATATATGAAACATGGCAAAAAAAAAAAAGTATTAGAGAAGCTTGAAACACGGCTTCAGAGTCAGTACCCAGTAGCCTCTCTTCTTTTGACCAGCTCCCAAAAGTAACCTTATTGTAAAAGAAAAGTTTTGATGATAGGCAGATAAAAGAAAGCATTATATTAAGTCATCAGTTGCAGGTTTCAAGGTAAGTGATTAACAATATTGGATAAAAGTTCTGGACCAAAACCATGGCAGAGAGGGGGGAAACTTTAAAAAGAGCGTGACCATGATATTTGTATGATTTCTGCTAAATTTTATTTCCAGACCCATCTGTCATAACTGTGGCTTCTTTCAAGCATATATATATACATATATATATATATATATATATATATTATTCTTTTAGTATATAAAAGCTGGGTACGCTTTTTTCCCCTATCTTTTTGGTTACTGTTTCAATTCCTGTCTTTTAGTGCCGATTCGTGGAAGGTTTCGGCGAGCAGCTTCCCAAATCAAACCTTCCCAGCGGTCGTGGGACCTGACATAATGACCTTCCCCTCAGTCCAGCAGACAGCCATTCCTTCCCTTGCCAATTGCCATCCGTACTCGCAGCAGCTGAGCTGACCTCTCTACTGTGTCCTGCCGTCCTTTCACCGGTTAGTTTGCCATTAGCGTGCCGTGCTACAAATTCATGGCTGCTGCTACACGCCACCGTTGGAAAGGGCCCTTTCAGTCACGGCAGCTCCCATGCTTCTTACTGCCCTTCCCCTTCTCAGCTCGATTGGGAACTCCGTCTCTGTACTACCTCTGCAACCCACTTCAGCAGGCCAAGATCCTTGGCCACCTCTCCCACCTCTCCCACCACCTCCCGCATTCCATCTTCGGACGGCCGAGCGAGGAGCGAACCCCTCACCCGGAGATCGGTTTTGCATCACGAACCTGTCGATTTCCTCCACTGGTCATTCCCAACCTTCATGTCCACTACGGCCTACGGTGATGGCAAAAACTAGCTCTTGATTTTGCCTTCACCAGGGCCAATATGAAGCAATCAAACGAGGAGCTCCAAATCCCAGGTATGCTTTTGGTTTCCTCTGTTTCGTACTTGGTTCCTTTTACGTTCTCAATACTCTTGCTCATCTTCTTTCCTCTCATCTCCAAGGACTGCTTTATAGCTTGACAGATCCGATGTTCATTCGTTGGTGTTCCTTTGTGCAAAATCAGATGCTTTGAAGTTGAGATTGCAACGATGAACGGTTGGTTTACACAGCTCAAGGAAAAGTATGACGAATTATGGTGGAGGAATGGGGCATGTTTGATCTCTTTTCTAGAAACCAAGGTATTACTTGGAAGCATTTTCCTTGGTAGCTCATGATCTCCTATTTGCTTTTGTTTGGCCTATATCATGGTATTTGATGCTTGAAAGTTGTAACTCTTATATTTGGATGGAATGTAAGAAAATTCCTATTTTTTTATGCAGTAGGTAAGTGCGAGGATTCAGTGAAATGCTCAACTTCATATACAAATTATGGGATTGCAGGTATAGACCTTCTAAAGAATGAAATAGCTTCTGAACAACTAACCAGTTAAGTTCAACTCTACCCTGGGTGTACTAAAAATATTGTCCAAGTTGAGAGAACAGTTCCAAGCTTTTGTTACTTTCTTGACTTCTAATTGCTGGATGCTTTGTCTTATTCTTTGCCATATTGTTGTATCCAGATTGCAATGTTAGTGTTGATTTGCTCACCAACCTAAATTACATTTCTTTCCTTATGAAGATGGAGAGCCGACAACAAGAAGCAATGGTTTCCTTACCTGGATACATTCAGATCTTAGGTTGGGGTGACAGGTGCTGTTTTGGAGGCAATGACACAGTATATGATGGAGTAGAGGAAAGAGAGGCCAGGACCGCCATGCTCTTGGTTTCAGTTATGGAAGCATAGAAAAGGTTTGTGGCAGGTTGGTTCCACTTTGCCTCTACATTTAGAAACTTCTGCAAGAACATTGTATGAATTCTCCGTTGTTTCTTTGAATTGTTGATTTACATATAATTTCTTCATCGTAGGTTTTTGCAGAGCTACTTACATTAGTGGGATCAGTGGACTTATGTGGTTGAAAACAACAAACAATTCCTTGATGTTCAGGTGACATAAGTGGCTCTATCTATTATTTGATCGCAAGAACATACAATTTGTTAAACTGTTATACTCCCTTAACTTATTCAATTGGTGTTGACGTTGTTGTTATCTTAGCCTTTGCACCCTCAAGCTGAGTTATGTGGCTTCTTTTATCAAGCTAATGCAGGTACCAGCAACTAGGTCTCCAAATGAAAAAGAGGGAAGGTTACAGGAAGAGAGAGGTGCCAGATGAGAAGAGAAATGTGCAAGTATGCTCATGGTGATTGTGGATGCTGAGGCCTTAGTTGTCTGGGTTTGTGATCCAGATTTATATGGACTTTCACTTACTTTCAGGATGATTATTATGTTTTATCTTTGCATAGAAAGGCTACTCTATTTGCATCAACTGAATCCTATGGTTTAAACGAGAGTTCGCTCACATGAGTCTGGCGTGATTAAAATTGTTGCGCTCTAGCCTTGCCGGTGAATTCATTTGGTTTCAGGCTTTGAGAAATGCTAATTGTGATACTGCAGGCTGCTCAAGATGAGAATGGCTCACGGAATGGATGCTCACTTTGAAGAAGTGCAGGTTCGAAGTTCTCTCACATGATTAAAGAAGCAAAGTTGCTGGGATCAGCGTCAAAAACTTTCCTTTGATGCCAAAACCCTGTTTCCAGATTCTGATGATAACAGGTCTGCCCTGTTCCTGCATTCCTTATGCAACTATGCTTTCTGAGTCACAAGTTAGAATTTCAGGGTAGCAATTCGGAACATTTCTTTCTAAAGTTGATTCGTTAATAGCACATGATGATTTTTGACAAGGAGCATGTTTCTGCAGCTAAGAATGAACAGAAGTATCTTGCGTTGAAGAACAGGCTTTGTGAAATGAGACTAGAATCTGAACTCCTGCTGAAACTCAAGCGAACTGTAACCTTTAATGAAGAGCTGAAGGCAAAACATGTTAGTTGTCCTATACTTTCACAAAGCTTTCATCTACGGTTTATCAAAGAAGCATATATGTGTTTTCTTCCTGCTCTTTCATTCTTCTGTTTAGTATCTTTCACAATGCAAGAAACACTGTACAGTCTTATTCTGCTTCTCTGTTTACTTCTTTTTTGTCACTGGGGTCTCAAGTTCATCAGCAAGGTTGGCGACAGCTCTGGATGGCTTGCTGTTACGAAGACACAGTCTTATTCTGCTTCTCTCCTTCACCCTCAAATAATGTTAGGCAATCCCATCTGCAATTCATGTCAGTATGAGAGCTCAGAAGAGCCTCCATGTAGGCAAAGGTCATTCTTTCGGCCTCCCATCCAATAAAATTCCTCTTATTTACTCCAATTCACGAATTTAAATTAAGTTATGAAGATATTTATGCATCTTCCATGAAAATTTGTTTCGAGTTTTGTATGAAAAGGGCATGTTATTGAGGTTACACCTAATGGTTTCTCATTTGAAAACTTCATGTTCTCTTCCGGGGTTACAGGTAATAGTTTTTGCGGTGATGATGCCAGTTAGTCAAGATTGATGTGAATTTTGATTTGACTCACAAGCTATGAGCCTCTTTTATGCTCCCTCCTCAGGTTTTCTTTCCCTTTTTATAGCTGTTTACACTAGAGTTTGAACTTAAAGACTGAACTCTCTACTCTCTACCTGTTTAATAGGGGTGGTGGGAGTCCTCAAAATTTCAAATGACTTTGTACCTAAAATGTCGTCTAACTTGCTCAATTAAGAAGGAACTAATGACAGATTGTAAAAATCCAGCATTATTGGTTGACCATGCTTTGTAGGGATCACGAGAAGCAAAAACAAGCAACCCTCTACACTCTCCTACATGGAGAGGGTCAAAGAGATTACAAAAAGCCACCAGAACAAGATGGTGGCATATAGCGGATATTCAAAGAAACTAGGGAATTGCAATTGGAGAACAACTCCATTCAAGAACCCAATCCTGTTCAACATGTAAAACCTTTTTAGCTGCCAGACAGATTAGGTGGTGGAAATGGAAGTTCGATTTGATGAAAAGCTTATATTGTGAACCGTATTGTGTCATTTTAGATAGATTCATAGTCAATGGAAATATACTGTTGGGGATCACATTGGTAGAGACATCTAATGTTATAGGATGGGTTTTAGTTTTCATTACAGATCATACTATTGCAGGAAGCACTTTTTAGCTTTGGCACGAGTATACTGAACATTGTATTCAACCAGCTTACTAAATTGGATTTACATGGGTTTTAAAGAGAACAATTTGTTGTAGTTCAATGTTCTTTGACTTACGTTTTGTAAGACATCATTATGATTAAGAGTTTAAATGTGTCTTAGCTTATTAAAATGTTCAAATTTTTGAATGATACATACTATATGTGTTTGCTTATATAATTCTGTAACTATTGCAAGTTCTACGTACATGGCTTGAAATGCTATTGCTTAATACTTCATGCGGACATAACTATATCTCCCGCGGCGTAGCCGTGGGTATTGATACTAGTCTTATATGTAAAAGTGGACTACACTTTATTGCCCTCTACTGTTTCATTATTTGTCGCCTAGCGGAAGGAGAAAAGAGAGCCCTTTGCTCCCCTAGCTGCATCTCTCTTCAGTTCCTTGCTGTCCCTTCAACCCCGAAAATCCGCTTCTCCGGCTCTGCTCTGGGACTCTGTCCTCTCACCCCATTCTCCGAATCTGCACTCCTCACCCCAAATCTCCAAATATGCACGCAACCTACTTCAGCACTCCAACATCCATAGCTTTCTCTGCCATTCTTCTTTCCCAACACCTAATCCCCCAATCCACCTCCGGAGCGGCATAACCTTTTACTCGAATGTGCTTTCCTTTCCTTATTCTATCTTCTCTGTCAATACTTCTACGCTTGAATCCCTAGCTGGCCGGCCGTAGCTCCACCAAGGTCTAGATGATGTAACCCCATCAAGGTTATTACAACAAGATCAGGTATTCTTTTCTTTCCTTTGTGCGGTTTAACCATAGTGCTTTGGCGGGGTTTCCTTTCCTTTGTCTGGGTTTGGTCGTTGAGGGATGGACAAATCGACAGCGCAAGATGATTCCTTTTTTCTAACAGATTTCCCCTTTCTCTTTTGGCCAGAGTTGATGGGATGGGGTTTCTGACCACTACTCTCCGCCCTGTGCGCCCGACTTCTGTATTTGATCATGTGCCATCTGAACTCAGAATTCCATTTTTGCCATGCCGCAGGTATTTGGTTATGCATTCAACGCATTCATGTTTTCTCTTCTCCTAGATATAACATGTATGTGCTATCGGGCTTCAAAAATTAGAAGGTTTGTTGTCTATATACGGTTGGATTATGGTATTTAGTTCTGGGGTGGTTACTTGGTTTGAGAGTTTTTTAGTTTTATGCTTTGCATCTTCATAGTCAGAAACCTTTATTGCCTTTTGATCTTTATTAAAATTTGTATGATTTGCCTGTTATGAGATTGCGAGCAGGGACTTTGTGATTGAAGTGATCTTCAAGTCTGTGCATAGGAGTTTGATGAGCTTTCATTCCTCCAGCATAAGAGTTTGTTACCCTATTTCAACTATTTACATTCACAACAACACATGAAGATGATTTTCATGCATTTCCATAAACAAGTGCGGGATATGTGCATTAGTGGACGAGTACAAGGATTAGTGATTACATACGTGACATCAGGTACTGAGCTGCTATATTTTTCCCCTTTCTGTTGTCTGCATGATTAGTGATTGCCTCTCTACGAATAGGCTTTGGTCACTGCATTATTTGTGAGTTTTTGGTAGCTGCTAAATGGACGTGCTTCTTCAGTACATCTGTTGATCATAATTCAGTATGGAAACTCTGTGTACATATCATTACATCTGTCTGCTTTGCTCATTGTTTAAATTGCAATAAGATGCACAGTAGGTCAATAGATAATTAGCACGTTCAGCAATAATGAAAAGGATTTACAATGCTATCCAGTAATTGGGAAAACTTAGGTAGGGGATACAAAATGCAAGGATAGAGAAGGGGAGACAAAGAACAGAAAGAAACTGGTGAGATCCAAAACAGAGTGGTAGCAACATACTACATTTTTTCCTGTAATTTCCTTATTACTGGATTTCCTTTTTGCCTTTTAATTGTGTATTGTTTTGGGGTTGCTTATGTTAGTGGCTATGCACCGTTATGTGCTTGGTGTAGACTAAACAGTAACTACCTAGCAAAAAATAGACTCAACTTTAATTTAGCAGAAACCTAAGTCATTATGTGGGTAATCTAAAGAGGTAGAAGGGGAAGTATAATATCATACAATACTTTGGTAGTTGTGCTTACCTGCTTCTCTTGGACTAATTTGTATAGGTTTGCTATTGATTGCTCTGTAGTAGTTGTTGGTCTGCGGCATAGAGTAACTTACCTCCAAGAACACCTTCAAGTTGAAAAATGGATGTTTTCCTCTCGCCCTTGACCAGCTCTTTTCCTTCCCTTGATGCTTTCTTTATCGGGAATGTTGGTACGTCCTACACTTTCCAGCACTTTGGTTATCCTTCCAATTGAATCGAATCATGTCACCCGCCACACTTATGAATCCAACCATGAATTTCACTATTTTGTCACAGCATCTCCTTGGTTGATGAGACTGTTTTGGAAGAGGCCAGCGAGTTTAGGCCTCCTCGGCCAGCGTAGATCATAGACATGAGGTTTGTTGACCGTTCTCATACTTCCCCTTCAAATGTGGTTGATTATTTCTGGAAAGTGATGCTAAACTGTTAATTGCACTTGGTCAACTGCTAAAGTTTCTATTCACATTTTCAGTTTTTATTTATTTATTTATGTTTAGTTGATTTAGACTCAAATACTTAAGGTAGCACTATGAAGATATATTGTTGTAGATTTATGACAAGGCGTGCATTGTGCTAGGTAATGTGCACGATTTACAGGTGGAATTGGAAGGAATGGGTGGCGGTGGGAAGTTGGTGGTTGAGGGAAATTTTTGGTGAAAAACAATTGCAGTTGTTGAAAGTTCATTGTCCTAGACATCTTGATCGGTATTTCGCGACAATTTTGTCAGTAGAGATCTTTCCAACCTACTCTCTCTTTCACCTGCACATTATGTTTGGTTTCTGTAACAATACTCTTGAATTATCTGAATCATTATGCTCATGTAATAAGAATGTTGTGACCTGTCTTTCTTTCCCAGGCCATGGAAAATGATGTTAAGTTTCTAATGTGATGCTACATTGTGCTTATGTCGTGCGAATGGCATGTCACCTATATGTCTTTCCTCGGACATGGAAAATTATTTGCTGACTGATTAGTCAACAACAAGTCTGCTTTCAATTTAGCTTTAACAATCGCATCCTCATATTGATTAATAGATGGAATGGTCACAAACATGACTCCATCTCCTTACATCAAAGAAAACTATAATAGCTTGACTGCTCATCCATTTATCATGACGTTGTAACTTAAGCCCCCGCGGCGTAGCAGCGGGTATTCTTTCTAGTATATATTGAAACCAGCAATTACCTCATCATGAAGCTTCTATTTGTGGGCTTGAAGGGCATAATTATCAGCTTTGACAACCTGAAACTGTCTCTTAAAGATAACATAATCTTTCTAAGCGACTTGGTCTTCCACCTGACTCTCCTGTTCTGGAACCAAATACCAATATGCCTAGACTGCAGCTCAAGAGCTCTAGCTAACTGCATTTTCCCCAACTCAAAGTTCTTCTTCAATGTCTTCACTTGTTCCATGTTCAGCCTCCTCTTCTTCTCCCCTGCCTGTGACCCATCGTCTGACAGCTCATCCAGCTGATCCCCACCATTATTATTGCCTTCTAACTCATGATCTCCAATCCTGAACTCATGGGTCTCTTCCCTAGGAATTCTGTCATCCCTAAAATATAACAAATCAATCAGCCAATCCACTTCATAATTACCATAAAGGAAAGCCTCAAAGCCATCCCACTACAATTCATGGACTAAAGGAACACCAAAGCAGGAACATTTTCAAGGTACAAAGCAGTCGTTGGAGATGGGAGGCAAGAGAATCGAGAACCATAAAAAGAACCAAGTACGAAAACACAAAACACATCAGCTCCCCGAGCCCATCTGAAAATAATCCTCGTCCATTAATTAGACAGAAGAGAAGCAAAATCCAAATGAACCAATCTGCTGAGAATCTCGCCCGTCAATTAATATGTTAGTAGATGAAACCGTTTCTAGGAATGTTTCGGGCACTCGTTTCTTTAGTGATAGCTAAAGCACTTTGCCTCCTTCCAGCATCTCTTGAGCAATGCTTCGTATGTGAACACATCAAGTTCAAATGGAAAACAACAGCAGTTAAGGGTTAGACTATCGCATCATAAAATGAAGACTTTGTACCTGAACTGTTGGAGATGGTGAGATTCTTCAAGCATTTGGTCTCACGAACCATTATCCAGTGCATCTCCAGAACCTGCATTTTTTTATCCATAATAAATCAAGTCATAGAATGGATGATCACCAAAACCAGTTACACAAAGACATGTTGATTGTGTTAAGATGACTGAGTTACAAAATGAAATTAAGTATTCAGCCTATCCAACAGTACATGGCAGTATGAATTATGATTAGGGATTCAAATACTACCATCTATAAAGAAACAACCTGTGAAGTCCCATATCCCCTTGCTACCATCTTTAAAAGTTAAATCAGTAAGGAAGCTATCATTGGGTAGTGAATTTATTCTGTAAACACAATCACAATATTATCATCCAAACAAAATATCAAAAGAAGGGAAAAGCTAATACCACTGGTGTAGTCGTTAGCATTCGTTCATCTTTAAAAGTTATTGATGACAACTCTGCTTCCAGTTCAGCTGACAAATACAATTTTCATTCCAAATTACACAGACAATTTAGCACGAAATTGAAGAGCAAAGGGAGCAATAAAGTTCTGAAACTTGTCCCCTTCCTTTTACATGGTCTCTTTGCTAATTATAACTGTGTTGTGATCCATATCGGTCCCTGTTTTAAACGTTGATATTTGAAGATGAAGAAAAACAATCAAATGGAAAGTGAGCCAAGTTCTAGATTCTCAGTAACATTTACCTTGCAAGATTGAGCAGAGTCATCCAACACGTTTTATGCTCCATTAAATTCATGGTTTAAACCATGAAAAAAACTCGTAGGAAGAGATCTTTCTCTTTACTATGCAGGTGTAAAGATACATCACCCCAACTTGAGAAGAGGAGGTTGAGGCTTGTTCTTCCTGATTTAAGAAATCATATCATCTTCTGTATAGTTCAAATGACAGTAAAATCACCTGATTTAAGAACTCATAATGAGATCTACATACAGGTCTAGCCATCCTCCAATATGGTAATATCCCTATGTTGCAAGACAGAGATCCTCCATGGCAAACGATGGTCTCAACCGGACACTACCACTGCTCTTCAAATCTCAAGTGAATGCTTTCGTTCTCTGTCCCAAAAGCAAGGAAAACCATGAAACCTCGGGTAAGAGCAGACAACAGAAAAAGTATCCAAAATTTTCTCCTTGAAGCAAGTCTATGCAAAGAATAGGACGCACCTTACCAAAAAATTTCCAGCTTGCATTGCTGCAAAATGGCCAAGTCAATAGAAACGTTACTGCTTTCTCCACAGCCAAGGAGCACCAATGTTTCCAAATTAGGGCACACCTAGAGTGCAGAGAAAAATGGAGAATCCTCGAACCTCACTCCAATGATTTCACGGTTCTGAAGCGAACCTAGACACTTGGTTCGTTCCCCTTCCTCTTTATGCGACTGGTGTAGCCGTGAGTACCAAGGCTCGATTCCAGATCACATGTATCCATTCTCATCTTAGAAGAAATCAATGGAAAGGGGAAAATATAAATAAATGAACAAAACCTTAGGTAGATGAACAACCCAAAAAACTTAAATCGCCATTCGAGGTCATGTGTATCCAACTATCCATCTCGGTAATGAGCTCTTGCTGATGACCAGGAGGTCTAATAATATCAGCAGCACATTCCAGCTCCCCCTGTCAACTTTTTCTGCAGAACACAAAAGGAAACAATACTCAGAAGTTCCTCCAAACTCATAGCGCAAACATGTTGTCAGATACAAAACTACATATGAACTTGCCTGCGTGAATGTTCCACTAACAACACTTCAAGAAGATCAATCGAACCAACACAGCTGGCTAACACTTGCAGTAGACAAACCAACAGAGGTCAAATTGTAGGTGATGCTTGTACACACACCATCTGCAAATCACTAAGTGATCGCTATATCATGTAAATCAATTAGGTGGTCTAAAGGCATGTCAATATATATTTCAAGTTAGTTTCTCCTGAGGTACTGGAACCCATTAACCTAGCTACAGAGGGCACTTTAATCAAGGGGCAGAAGCTTATCATGATTCAATATTAGGAACAAATCCCAACATATGTTTTGATATGCATAACATTCATATGAGCATTTCCTCCCATAAATGAGGATAAGAGTGTACTACGATGTGTGAGAGATAGAAGGGTTGAATGAATCTAAACAAAAGACATCAAACATTCATTGACAAAGTTAAGGAACAATTATAATTGAAAAGATAATAGGTAAAAGCAAAATAAAGAAAATGCCAGAGTATTAAGAAGGCCCAGCAGCAGCACAGAGGACAATCAATCTACAGATTCAAATCCGTTCCAGCCAAAGATGAAGAAGTAGAAAAGGTGTCAGTGATTGAGAATGAATACCCTATGGATAAAATGAACTGGTGGATCTGAGCAGAGGTCAAGATTCCCTCACTTCAACCTATGCAAGCAAGAGAAAGCAAAGCGGAAGGAAGGGGGAAAAACCCAGAAGATACAGACAAAGAGAGAAGGAGAGGGAGAGCCAAACGGGTCGGTTGAAAGTTGTAACCTTGTTGGAGAAGCAGAGCAAAAACTGAAAAAAGGGACACGAAGGCTTGGCTCCTTGGGGAGTTTCCTTCTGCTTACATTCTCGTCGAGGTTGGTGATACTTTTCCTTCCTTCTCATCTCCTTATTCTTTCGCTCCTCCCCGACAGCCGTTGAGCTTCTCTCGTCTTCCATCCTGAAAATCGGCGGTCCCACCAACTCTTACCCCATCCTCCTGCTGGTCCATCAGCATCACCACCGTCAGTTTCCGCTGTTCCTCCCCATGGATAGGATAGAGTGCGAACTTGACGACACCATGTCATCAGAATCTTCATTGCTACAGCCTTGCTCTGCAGCGAGAATCCAAAATCGAATAGGTGAAATTTAAAATTGTCCACAAAGAAGACAGATAAATAAGACCTCACCATCATAGGCGATTCTGTCCACCGTAGTTGGTCCTCCTGTTCCAAATCGATTTCTTCACCCTCCGCTATCAGGTTCTGGTTCCGTGTCGACCAGCAGCGAGGAAACTTTTAGGGTTTCGTTGAGGGATTACGGTGGGGAAAGGAGGGAGCCATTTGTCTCCCACCAAGTACAATCGTAGCCAACTGGCGGGGAGAGGAAAACACTGTAGAAGCAGAAGGAAGACATGGATTTGCTGTACGGGAAAGCAAAGCGGAGTGACGAACTGACGGGTTGGGAAGGAGGCGTGTCCAAAGAGCTCTGCAAAAGTGGCATGGGTGGTGCGTGCAAGACCATATGCAGAGAGGAGGTGATTGGAAGAAGGACACTGAAGTTGACAGAGCAAGAATGGAAAAAGCATGGTTGAGGACAGTGCAGCAGCCGAGAACTTCTAGTGGGGCGGGACAGTCACGAAGGCAGGTTTCCAAGGAGCTCTCCAGTGGAGAGTTTGAGGCTCAGCTCACTAAAAGTTAAAAATTGAAACAGTAGCAAGAAATTTGGGCAAAAAGTGTACCCACTAATTATATATAAGAAGAATATAGTAGATGGACCAATACTCACCAGCCCTTAGAAAAAGAGGAGCTAAGATTAGCGATGAGATTAGTTACTAGTACGTAACCATTAATGAGCAACCAACCAACTCCATTGTTGCTTATTAGCAGGAGAAATGGAATAAAGAAGAAGAAGAAGCCATTAACAAGTCCTCTCCTCGAGAATAGCAAAAAAATATTCTCAGCCACCAGATTCATATATAATCCTCAACCGATGATGACGCCACTTTCCTTCAATTTTCCCTCCACTCATCAATTTCCCTAATTTTTCCCCACCCGCGAAGCAATGCAGCTGCTCCAAACCCTAATTCCGCCATCCTCCTCACCCACCGCCGTTGCAGCGGCGCTACCTGTCGCTTTCGCCTCCTTTCTCGTCATCTACATCCTCGGTTACTCTTTGGTCTTCCGCCACTGGCCGTCCGGTGCTCGCTCCGAGGCTTCCAGCTGCCTGATCTCTTTGTTTCACGGCACCCCGGCCGTGTTCCTTGCCTCCTTCGCAATTTACTCCGACTCCGATCGCGGGTTCGCAGCCACCAACACCCCCTTTCAATCCGCCGTGCTTGATTTCAGCGTTGCATATTTCTTCGTCGATTTGCTCCACTACGTGTTCTTCTTCTCGCCTGGCGATGCGCTCTTCATCGGGCACCACTTGGCTACTCTGTTTGTGTTTCTCACGTGTCGGTACCTCGTCGGCCACGGCGCGTTCGCGATATTGACCCTCTTGGTCCTCGCTGAGGTCACCAGCTTTTGCCAGAACGTGTGGACGCTGGCCGGGGTGAGGAAGGGAGATTCCAAGCTCGCCGCGAGGGTGTATCGTTTGTTGTCCCCGCCGTTCTATGCGTTCTACTCCGTCGTCCGTGGGGTTCTGGGGCCGGTGTTTATGTATAAGATGGGGGAGTTTTATTGGAGTGGGGTGGCAGATGGTGTTGTCCCCAGGTGGGTTTGGGTTTCCTGGATGGTGGTTGTGATTGGCGCCATCTCTGTTAGCATCTTGTGGATTATCAACTTGTGGGTGGAATTGTACAGAGAAAGGAAGGTGGATGGTAGACTGGAGAAGAAGAAAGACAGGTAGAAGAAGAACATAGATGGGAAAAAACGTAAAAAATGGAGTCTTTTGCTTTGTTTTTGGATTATATAATGGCAAGGGTAGGAAGTAGAAGAGAGAATTTCTCAATTGTGTGTAACCATTTGGGATTGAAATTGAAGCTTCTCCACTGCTTTCTTCATGTGCATTCTGAATTGGATATGGTGATATAATATGCGATATTCCTTTCACCGTCTCGGTTTTATCAGTTGTGTGAAGTGGGAATTCTGATGTGCCCCATCTTTTTCAGTGTCTTCTTCTGCGATTTCACTTTGGTTTGTCTGATTTCTTCAGCTTTAACGTCTTGTGCAATGAGTATGGAAGTTCTCTAAGTTAGCTTCTAGCTTGTGCTGCATTTTGCCATTGCTAAGTTCGGATGAGATGGGGGCATCATTAGTCATTTTGTGATGGTTTGTTTAAGCTTCGGAAAGTCTGCACTTTTGTTCAAATTGCTGTGCCCATACACCATAGAATTTCATTCCTCCTGGAGATTGTTCATGCGACCTAGTTATATTAGAATGGAGGATTCATTGCCAGCTAGGAGGGTGCTAGTTGTGATGGTTTCTTTAAGTTTCGGAAAGTCTGCACTTTTGTTCAAATTGCTTGCCCAGACACCATAGAACTTCATTCCTCGTGCAGTTCGTTGAAATGACCTAGGTATATGAGAATGGAGGATTCATTGTCAGATAGGACGGTGCTAGGAACTTATCTTGGTTTCTATAACCTCAAGAATCAGAAACTGGCCATTTCCTTGTGATAACTCTTAGGCTTGATAAGCTGAAGATGCCAGATTGGATACTGTCCGATTTATGATGTTGCCTTTGCTATCAAACGGAAGATAACGTGTACTATCTTTTCTGAAGTTTCACTTTCTAGATCGTTGATGTGACCCAGTATCCATGGCCCTTTTCTCTGAGAAGTTGAATGATGTTTTACTATATGGGATACCATAACTGACGTATCTTTACAACTCGCGGAACAAACGAATGTCCTTGCACCATATATATCTTAGGGAAGCATTAAAGTTGTCTATTTGTGTTTAGATTGGGGGGAACACTGTACTTCGCATCATCCAACTGTATATCCATGCCTGTATGCTTCAGCTGGCTACGATTTCGTGTAAGGCAGTCTGTCAATACTATCTCAGTAGAGTATTATCTGCTTAGTTTCTTTTGGAGCTTGAGTATGTGCATTCGTCACTGGAGGATGAGTGGATGACTAATCGACAGATGAAGAAATGGAATCCCAACTACATTACTTTCTTTTTTTTTTTGGAGAAAAACTACTTTACTTTCTTAATGCATAAGAAGAAACTGTTCACAATAGAAAATAGAAGCGCAGAAGAATACCAAGCTATCAACAGTGGTGGCAAACAAACTGGTACTGTATTCCAAACTCCTACTCTGGCACAAAATAAAGTCTTAAATCTGATTAACATCCTAAAATAGAATAACACGCCTCTGAGAACAACAGTTTGAAATGCCCTTCCTTCGGCTTCTTTTTTCATCATTGTCAGTTTCATTTCCTTCACTCTCTACTGCAACTGTTGTTTCTCACACTAATTGTAGAATTTGAAATCTTTGGCATGCACGATGATGTTTCTTAATCCTCCAATCGGCCCCAGAATCATCAGCATTACTCCAAGTATGATGCAAATCTGCAGCCAGCGAAACAAGAATAAAAGGTAATCAGCTGATGGTTTTTGCTTAACAATCTATGCTTAGGTAAACTGAGATTACGAAAGGCTGCTCATGATTGAAATTTTTACCCAGTTGATGAACCATGAAAGGCTGAACTTCTTTGGCTTGACGATGGCAAGCCAAATGATGCAGGGGAGCTGCCAAGACAGAACAAAAAAGAACAGTGATAAGTTATTATCCGACATAAGAGCGAGAAAGGGTCACAGAAAGAAGGTTGAAAGCTTACGAAGTATGTCGTTGGTGCAAAAGCGAATCCTCCGAAGAAACTAAGCAACGCACCAAAGAAAGGGAAGGTGATGCCGATAAACATTGTGAGTGCTGAAAAAAAGTGAAGCAAGTAAGTTCACCATCAGAAACCCCAGAATCGAATATCAATGCCCCTGATTTGAGACTGTGAAAGATGTTCACTAACTTACCAACATAGACAGTACGAGTAATAAATCGAAGCTTGAAGGATGGCTTGAAGTTCAGCTTCTTCACCAGGGTACTCTCCATCATGTCGAAGACAGGCATTGCAAACAACTACAATGGGAGAAGCCAAAATGAGTTGTGGATGGTCGGTTGGATCGTAATTGAACGGTGAAGAGCTATTGTGATACTCAAACTAGTATATTTCGTTCCACCATGTGAGGAAGAGATATCAGCAGTACCTGGTAGCTGCCAATGACATGGATGACAACGAAAGCATTGGCGACGATGACGAGCCAAACAGGTTTCTCAAGGGAGAGCATGATGTTGTCCTCCACTTTGTTGCCGAATATGTAGTACCCTACTAGAGCAACAGGGAAGTAGCAGAGCGCGACGACGATGTAAGCTACAACGACTCCTCTCCACATGGGCACTTTCGATGGCCTCTCGGGCGAGGAAGGGATCGTTGCTTGGATCTCGAGCACAACATTATGGCCAGCATAGGCGAAAGCTACCTCTCCAAGAGCACCCAAGAAGTTAAAGACACCTCCAGTGGGAGTTGAGGCTACTGAGGCATACGATACTCCTGGTTGACGACCCTTGTCAGCAGCAGCTCCCCAGGCAATGGTGGAGTAGCTGTGTGCAAAGAAAGAAAGAAGCTCCCCTCAGGTCACTCAACTAAGAAATGAAGTAATGACACAGAAAGGATCTGAGAAACAGAATTTACTGACGAACCTCAACGACATCACTGCCGCGGCAAGTGAGACTACAGAGATGGAATTGAAGTTGGGGCAGTGAGCAAGGATAAAATGGGGGGAGGCAAAGATCATGATGAAGTATGTCAGCTTGATGTTCTTGCAATCCCCGCAGGCCAGGTTGTAAATTTTCTGCAGCGACTTTCCTCCTGTCACCATGTACACTATGTCTACACCTACTTCGCATATGAGCTGCTGTGGGACGACGATGTACAGACCTAGCTTCTCGCCGAAGGCTGCCTGGCCGAGCTCGTGGTATCGATCGAGTCGCTTTCCGGGAATCATCTCGTGCATCTCCACCATCTGCCACAGTGTGTACAGAGTGATCACCCATGACAGCACCAGTATCACTGTTCCAGGTCCCCTGCCAGAAAGAAGAAAAAAAGGTCCAAATTTTGGATTTCCAATTATATGTTGGGGGTGACTTTGTATATTGGTTTGTAACGTAGAATCGGAAAACAGGGCTTACTACAATGATAAACAAATTGATGATCTCTTAGACCATCAAATTGAAACACAAACTATGAACTTCTTCGATAATATGATCATCAATTATGTTCAAAAAAGGAAAATTAACATCAAATTAAAATTGTACAAAAATCGTCAATTCATGTAAATCTACAATCGTACATTATAGCAAAATCAATCAATATCGATCCGAGTGAACAAACTCGCAAGAGATTCAAAGGATTTCAAGTACTACTACTACTACGATAAGATTTCATTCAGAAACCTTGTTATACACGTACCATCCAAGGTGAGACATGGCATACGGCAGACTGAGAACTCCTGCTCCAACCATGGCGGTGACATTGTGGAATGCAGCATACCACCACTTGGCGTTCCTGGAGCCGGTGATGGGCAGCCAATCGTCGATCTTCTTCTTCCTTTCCTCCTCCGTCTGTCAACATAAAACGTCATCGTCATCGCCCGATTAAACCAGCAAACCCCAGGAGCTTTAATTTTGTCCCACGTATATATATATATAGGTAGGATACAATGCTTACTTCATTGCTGGGGACCTCTTCGGGTTTGGGTTCTGCCTGAGCCTGAGTGTCCATAATTACACGATTCTTCTTCTTCTTCTTCTTCTTCTTCTTCTTCTTCTTCTTTTTTCACCGCGGGTGGGCAGGGGTTAACGGAGAGGTAGCAATATGCACAAAGGATACCGTGGAGGGAGTGGTAACTTTCCTTTATGCTACAGCTACAAAATAGCAGTGAGAGACCTTCTGCCAACGATCAAGTAAAAGAATTTTTTTACCACAAGCCTTTTCCTCTTTGACATTCCCTTCCTCCCACTCCCAGCAAAGTTACAATGTGCCAAGAGGCTTGTGCTGATCTCTATAAGATTATATATACTTTTTTTTTTTTACTGTGTTGTTAGGTAAAGGAGGGTAGTTTATGCAGTTACCATTTGCGATTATGAGATGATCTCAAATACTGGCAGATTTACTTTCTCCCTCTTCTTATCTTTTTTTCTTTTACCATGCCCTGATTCTCGGCTATGGATAAGTCCTGGTGAAAACTCAGAATGGTGAAAATGTGTAAAAAAAGAAGCAAAACCCAGCTCAGCGGTAAATGGGGATCTCTCCCAGATACTCACTCCAACCAGACTGATTTGTAGGGTAAAGAACAGGATCTCAACCTCTCAATTTTAACTGACGCGTTCTAGGGTTCGATTTTTATGGCGAAAAAAAGATTAATTACACTCTCTTTCTTCTATCTTTTTTACTGTCCATAGTTATCTTTGATTAGGTACATTTAATTATTATGTACCATAACCATATATTCATAGAATATTGTTTTGTTACAAATAAAAAACTCGATTCATGGAATATTGTTACAAAACAAGTAAATATGATTGTTAGTTGGGATCCTCAAGAATCCTCAATGAACCAGGACACAGCTCAAGTGCAGAAGATACAATTTTGTTTCTATGTATGTATATGTTCATCAATTCCCTTCCTAATCTATCATCATATATTTACGCGTGCAATCAGTGCTATACTAAGAATAGAGTTCATCTTGATTCAAATTGCAAAAAAAAAAAAAACCAAAAAAAAAAAAATCTAAAATTGGTTTCTTTGTAAAACGTTTTGTTTAAGTTTTGAGATACATTTTAGTGTGGTTGAGACCGAACTAGGTCCTTTTTGACGACGCACTAAAATAGAAAAACCACAACCAAATTATAATGTGGTTTTGTTCTCACGATCCAGATCAAATGAACTACGATTCCGTACAGCTTTGGAGCGGGAGTCAATTGAAAGCCTAAATAAAGTTGGGCCAGCTCAATAGAGTTCTAAGCCCAACTTTTCCGCATCCAATCTAACTTGGCCCATTAACATTGCGGATCAACCCCGACCCGGCTCATCTCGGCCTTTCCTGATTTTCAACCCCCTGCTTCATTATCCCCTGCGCCGCGGGAAAACTCGCCACCGCGCGAGCCAATTCTCGCGCTAAAGAAAACCCCGGCATTCTGTCCCACCCTCTTAGCTGAAGTCCAGCCGGCGTCCACAAGCTGCTAAATCCCCTTCCAATTTCAGCTCGGACAGGTTCGGCAATTTACCGCGCACAGAGATTGCATGCGCTGAAGTGAGTTCTTCTACTTGTCAAATCTTCAATTTCGTTCATTTATTTGAAATTGCGGCGTGATTTTCTCTTTATCGGCAATCCTTGTATGACTGAATGAATGGGTTTCAAGAACTTGTGGGAAATTTGGAAGATACCTCTGCAATTTAACAGTTCCTAGCTAGCTAGCTAGCATGCTGCAATATTTGGGTGCTAAATATGACGTGAGTGTCAAGAGTACGAAGTTATAGCTTGCTAGCTAGCGATGACTTGACTCTAATTGCAAGTAAAACAAGTGATGGCCGAGTTAAAAGAGAAGGAAGTGTAGAGGCTGGTTAAAGTGGTGCTACTTGCTTAATTACTTGGTCGGAAGAATGCAAAGAGTTTAGGTCTATGATCCACTGCGTCTGATTGTGTTTTGAGTTCAAAACTGAAGAGAAGAAAGAACACTCGAATAGCTAATCCATATAAAGATTCATCATCTAAACTAACGAAGCTAATGTGTATAGCAGCTGGGATGAAGTCTTTACTAGAAAAGTAACAAGGGAATCATCATACATGCGTGTACGAGCGCATCAACACAACACTGTATATTTGAACCGTAAATTAGCTGGCCACCTAATGTAATGCCAGACAACTTTCAACTGCTACTTAACATTTCACAGAGATGACAGATGACTGGAAAGTGGAAACGCACCATTTAGAGAGAAAAAAGCTAATAATGATCACTTAAAGCCTTAAGAACTTTCTACCAAAAAAAAAAAAAAAAGCCTTAAGAACTCCTTTCTATAAGAAGCTTACTTAGGCTGCTAGCAGCCTCCACTTCTTCCACACATATTCCACTGCATCTGCATCATCAGCATCAGCATCGTCATCATTAAGTCGAGACTTTAAGAGTTCTGAATTGAATAAGAAGTTACAAGAAATCAGAACTATTAGAGCCATATATACAGAAGCTCTGTGATAACAACTGCTGGATGGATGTCCCTGCATGCTGATTATGTTTTCTTTACTGGGTTTTCTGCAGCCTTTGTTGCGTTCATTTGCCCCCCCCCCCCCCCCCCCCCCTGCTATTTTGTGCCATGGTTACCCTTTTATGCTTGCTCCCTCTATGTGTGCCCCTTTGTAATTGGTCTCTCTTAATAAATTTGGATCTCACTTCTTTATAAACTGTTTGATTATCTATCAGCAGAGCAACATTTACGATGGAACATTTCTCTGCTTCCATTTGCTGCTGCAACTGGGTTGTTTATTCTCTGTCGTCGACCAATTGCTTGGGAAGAATTGGGCGGGCTTGGGTCGTTTTAACAGCATAACTTTTGACTTTGTAACTTTGATTTGTTTCTTCTGCTGCTCTTTGCGGGAATTTATAGGTCACTTTTGGGGCTGTTTGGTTTCTTGGCCAAACCCACTTTGTTTATTTTCCTTGAGTAATAAATTTGGCTCACCATATTAAAAAAAAATGTTATAATGTCTCTAGTCATTTAGTGTAACTGCTTTTTTTTCCCCCCGGACCTGCCTAAGGTTTCGCATCGCTCCATCTGCTTCATGATTTCTTTGTGTGTCAGGCGAGTTGTACACCAGAGATGGATTGCTCTTCTACTGGACAAGGCATTTCACCTGAAACTCTCGCTTACATGGAGCTTGCACTGGATCAGGTAATTCCTGTTTTAGTTAGCTTACAAAAAGAGTTGGAGAAAACAGTGAAGATTTACTCTGTTTTCCCTACCCAAGTTGTCGACAAGAAGTAATTAACCTTGTATGCAGTGATTGAAGAACATATACAGTCCTCATTTCTATTCTTACTTTCGGCACCATTTGACATGCTAGTTTAGCATTGTCTCTTGCAGCTCTTGGCCCATGATGACATTATGCCTTATCTCTTTATGTTGTAATGAGTGTGATAACTTTTTGTTTAATTGAATACGTGCCACTCCATGATTTTTTTAATCTTCATCGTACTGCAGGCAAAAGAAGCACTGGATTCGCTTGAAGTGCCAGTTGGGTAAGCTGCATTCTGCTACTGCTAATTTGATATTGGAATCCTAAAGGAAAAAACTAAAATGAAACGTAAAATTTTCTTTGGGAATCGCAGTTGTGTGATTGTTAAAGATGGGAGAGTTGTTGCATCTGGAAGAAATAGAACATCAGAGACTAGAAATGTAAGTTCATCTCAGGTTCATCCTTGCCTAGAGCGAAGTATGCTATTGTGAATTATCAAAACGTTGTATGTTGCTCTTTGTGGCAGGCTACGAGACATGCAGAGATGGAAGCAATCGACTTTCTTCTCGAGAGGTGGCAAAAGAATGGACTATCGAAACTGGAAGTCTCAGAGAAGTTTTCAAAATGCAATCTTTACGTCACTTGCGAACCTTGTATAATGTGTGCTGCAGCTCTCTCGATCCTTGGTAACCCTATATGCTCCCTCACCAAGGCATTCCTTTCCACTCTTTTTTCCCCCTTAGCTTGATATCTGAAGCACAAGTCTCATCTTCTTTCTTCTCAAGGTATGAAGGAAGTATATTATGGATGTGCCAATGACAAATTTGGAGGGTGTGGATCAGTATTGTCGTTGCATTCAGGCAACCCACAATCACTTACAAGGTTGGTTCGTTTACTTGTTGCACAGTATATATTTTCATTACCTCTTCCTAGCTATAAATGAATAGGCAATGTTTGTTGCAGTTATGATTTAGGACACTCTTGTCTCTCTCACTGCACTTAGGACTTGTGCCCTTTAAATTCTACAGTGGGGAAGTTAGACAAGAAGGAAAAGGTTTCAAATGTAGCGGGGGAATAATGGCATCAGAAGCAGTCGCTCTTTTCCGGAGTTTCTACGAGCAAGGAAACCCTAACGGTATCCCTCTTTCCTTGGTGTGGATCAGAGTATAAAACAGAGTAATCTAATTATGTGAAGGGACAATGTGAAAATGTAATGGCACTTGATGAAATCGAATTCAACTAGAAGTAGAAAGAGGGTAGTAAGCCGCATAAAACAGTTCATTTTGTTATGTGAAGAGATGATGTGCTACTTGTGGTAACATCTCTCTACTCAGCATTCTATATGCAGTCTGCAGAGATTGAATGGAGTTTAAACATGGGACAGTGCATTATGCAGGAGTGACTAACGTGTTACTTTTCTTGCGTACAGCGCCAAAGCCTCACAGGCCCGTTGTTCGACGAGCAACTAGTTAGCTTTGGTCTCCTGGAGCAGCAGCAGCTTTTTTGTTGGGAAAGATCCCAATGGTGTCTTGGTTGTGATGATGACGGTGAAATTTGGGGGAAGGTGAGTTCGTATGATGATGATGTTGTTGTTTGTGGCGGCGGTCAATCTCTTCAATGGCTTCTGGGTTTTGATAGTGATGGTGAAATTGGGGTAGGGGCGAGTTCGGACGATGATGTCTTATTAAACTTTGCCAAGCAATGAAACAAATTTTAACGGAGAAATGAATTTCCATCTATACAGAATTTAGGTGCTTAAAATTATGTTGGCACGAAAAAAAATACTTTGATATTGTAATTGATGGTAAAAGTTATTAGACTATTAGACATGTATACATTTTGTTGGTCGAAAAGCACATGTAGAAGTGCTGTTATTAACTATTTTCGTATATTGATAAGATTAACAGTGTGGAGAACTTGGAGTAACTGAGTAAGTCAAGCTAACTAATATATATTCTAGCTAATTATCTTGTTTACATCACGAGAGAATATATTGACAAATTATCAAGAAGATATGATTAGCTAGAATATTGAGAAATTATCTAGAAAAAATTGCTTGATGGGTGTAGGGAACTGGAGTCCATAGATGCTGGATCTTGGACTTGAGCGTGGAATAATGTTGCCAACATACTGAAAAATGCCGCATTTATCTTAATCCTATCATGTTTTGTACATTGACAATCTTAAAAATTTAATATGATGTATAGTTTATGTTGCAAACCAAATTCTACCGCCTCTCCTCTAGCATACTTCATCAATCAAAAATCTTTTTTGTTTTATAAGGTTGTCATATCTACTGATGTACCTTAGTTTATCATGTATAGATCGGTCTAATTTATAAAAAGTTAACCAAGAATTTGTAAATATAAAGTTTACAAACTCATTAATACATATTGAAGAACGAATTATTGTATGCATTATGGTGTAATATACACAGACCCACAACCTACATATATGTTCCAATTTTTGTTTTTCTCAAACTTATGTTTCATAATCAAATAAATCCTCTTACTCCTCCAAAATAGTGAGTCAAGGAGCTGAGGTAAAATTTCCATTATTGTATCACCTAATCTACCTCTTTGTCTTTGATAACAATCCTATGGATGTTTGTTCCATAATAAACTTTAGGGATCTAGTGCACGTACTCGCGTTACTTAGGTTACATTTTGAAACCGGTGCTTATTTATATTTTATGATGAATTTTATACTATTTTCAAAGCAAAGAGCCAAATGCTATATTTATGATGCGTTGGGAATTTGCGGAGGAAGAAAGACAAAAGAGCTTAAACCAAAAAGGGTGGGCAAGTGTTTGACAAATTCCACTCTTATCAAATGGCTTTCACTTTCATTAATCAAGACACTGTATGGTAAAGTAGTAAAGGGTCAGTTTCAGAAACCTCATCATATTTCTGTTTTCTTCTGTAAAACCCAATATTATAACCCTCCCGCCATCATTACATCACCACCATATCTCTCATAAACAAACCACAAACAGAAGGGGAAACAAATCAGACATTAACGAAACTGCACATCAAACTACTCTTTCTTGTTTGTTTAACACCTTAACCCAACTACTTTGCTGCTGTGCAATACTCCCAAACGTTTCACCCCCAACCTATGATGTTTCCCTGGGTTTCTCGTGTTATCGATCGATCAATATAATGCTTCAATTATAGAACTTGTAGGTCTTAGCTTGAATGATGATTGACCTCAACCCACCAATTGGTGAGAGGACCATCAGCAACACTCCAAACACAATGCAGACCTGCGGCAAGACCAAGAACAGGGAATTAGAGTGGAACAAAATTACAAGAACAGAACAATGTAAGAGGACCCTTTTGAATTTTCAATCTAAAGACTGAATCATTTCATTAATCCCTTACCCAATTGGCCCACCAAGATAAGCCGAACTTCTTTGGCTTGTAGATGGCTAGCCACATTACACAAGGCAGCTGGCAGAACAGAACAAACAGTTAACGTTGCATTTAGCATGCAGGTTCAGAATCAAATTGCTTGTGACCCAAGATTCAAAACATTGTCTCTTGTTCTGTCCAATTTTGTGACACTTACAAAGTATGTGGTTGGCGCGAAAGCAAACCCTCCGAAGAAACCGAGGAGGCCACCAAAGAAGGGGAAGGTGATACCTACGAACATAGTCATTGCTGCCACAAGAAGAAGCAACCAGGTTGGCTTTCATAAGTTCCAAGAAATGCACATTGTAAGTGGGTCAGATTGTTTTCATTGATAGCCTCGAGCTTTATTGAGTTCACTTACCAACATAGAAGTTGCGAACGCAGAACCTAAGCATCCAGCTGGGTGTGAAGTTAAGTTTCTTGACCAACAAGGTTTCCATCATGTCAAACACAGGCATTGCATAGATCTGCATCAAAACATAAGTCATTTATCAGCATGTCAGACACAATGTTGGGTCAGTTGCATGAACGATCATTCAACTTCGGTGTCACTAGCTTATTCGATTCTTTAGCGACCCCAAACAACAAGGAATTACTGGTTTCTTTCTGGTCTTACCTGGTAGCTACCAATGACATGGATGACAACAAACATGTTGGCCATGGCGATGAGCCAAGAAGGCTTCTCCAAGGAGATAAGGATGTTGTCCTGAACCGAGTTCCCATACATCCAGTATCCAATTAAGGCAACTGGGAAGTAGCAGAGTGCCACAACAATGTATGCAACTAGCACTCCTTTCCACATGGGGCCCTTCGATGGCTTCTCTGGCGTGGATGGAATCGTTGCTTGAATCTCCAACACCACATTGTGCCCTGCATATGCAAACGCAACATCTCCCAAAGCACTCAAGAAGTTGAATACTGTTCCTGTTGTGCTCTTGGCCTTGTAACCATATTGAACATCTGGCTGGACACCCTTATGCAATGATGCTGACCAGGCAATGGTGGAGTAACTAAGAGATATAAGATCGAAATCAGGAATTCAGGATCATAAGATGGGAAAACGTAAGAGTAAAATCAGAATCGTGATGATAGTTTGGAATTTTTTTGTTTACCTCAGTGACATGACAGCAGCAGCCAGCGAGACACCAGAGATGGAGTTGAAGTTTGGCAAATGGGAGAGGACAAAGTGGACGGAGGCGAAAATCATGATGAAGAAGGTCACCTTGATGTTCTTACAGTCTGGGCAGACTGTGTCATGGAACTTCTTGAGTGATTTGCCTCCTGTGACCATGTACACAATGCAGACACCAACTTCGCATATGAGCTGCTGTGGCACAACAATGTAGAGGCCAAGCTTCTCTCCAAAGGCATGCTGGCCGAGCTCGTGGTATCGATCGAATCGCTTCCCGGGCACCATCTCGTGCATCTCCACCATCTGCCAGAGTGTGTAGAGTGTGATGACCCATGACAGCACCAGGATTACAACTCCTGGACCCCTGGTGAAGAGAGAAACAAGAAATAAGATTCATGCTAATTTTCCAAAACGATCACTGATCTTCTTAATTCTTCCCAAATCGGTCCAATTCATTTGGTAAAAAAACAACAAGTCTAGGGGGGCTTGTTTGGGAGAAATGATTGACTTACCATCCAAGCTCAGACATGGCATAAGGGAGACTGAGAACACCAGCTCCAACCATGGCAGTGACATTGTGGAAAGCAGAGTACCACCATTTGGCATTCCTTGAGCCAGTGATTGGAAGCCACTCATCAATTGCTTTCTGCTTTGCTAGCTTCTCATCATCCACCTGCCAAAAATGTCACAATGGTTCATTACTATCACAACCCATTAAAAAAGAAACATTTGGGAAGTGGCCCAGAACACCAAAAAGTGTACCCACTAGAAAAAGCTTCTTTCTTTGGCAGATTCTCAAAAAGTGCAATTCTTGAACCCTATAGAATGAATCTAGGTAGCCAATCCATGTTCCAAACTCTCTGGAGAAAAGACAAGACAAGACCCCATAATTTCCTTCTTTCTTCTTCTCACTATTTTTGTGTTTTAGTTTTAGATCACAGAAATAAATAAAAAAACTTGCAAAACACCAGAAATAAGAACATTTTTTCTGATAAGATTAGGGAGAGAAATCCAAGGCAAGGGAAAAAAAAAAAAAATCAAACATACATGCATCGTTGCAGTATTATTATATGTTTGTTATGATTCCTTACAGATGCAACTGTTGACTTGTATATTAGAGATAAACCTCAGCATCCAAGTGGATTACTTCTTGAGCTTCCTCTCTCTTAATAACTTGATTTGTATTTTTTAACAGGGGACTGTTGACTTGTTCAAGCACATGACACTCACAGAAGAAGACAACCATAATAAGTGGCAGGATCGGCGATCGGGGAGTTGGAAAGAAGAAAACTTCTATTAATTCAAATTTAGAGTTAATCTAACTGAATTTTCAGAAGTTGGTTCGCATTAAAAAAAAATAATGATTTAGAGAGGTGTTGATATTTTCGTCCATCTCTGTAATTGCCGGCAAAACAGAGCACAAGAAACAATTGGCTTTGACAAGGTGGTATATGGTCATTGTTTTCTTCCCCTTAGAAGGGGGAGATGAGGTTAACCTTCTTAATTACAATTTCCAGTTAAGATTATAGTTATAGTAATTTGTTTAATTAAACAGAATTAAAACCCTTTTCTCGCTAGAACACAAAAACAGAGAGAAAGGAAGGAAAACATAGTTCTGATCAGAAGACGAACAATCAAAATGCGAAGGATAAAACAGAGTGACTAAATTTTAATCTCCTTTCCCCCCACAAAAACAATCTCAACAAGATCACACTTTGAAGGTGAAAATTTTGCTCAGCCCCGAGCTAGACCAGAGGGAAAGAACCCAGAAGGCCAAAAATGAAGGGAACTAATGAATGGTTAAGAAACTAACAGACAATTGCGGTCCATCTAACGTTAAGCCTTATGAACACAAAAGATGACAAGGTTGAAACTTTATAGTTTCCGAGACCACAAAGCTATAGTATTTTCGAAACAGAAAGTATGGGTGCGTGCGAAGACTTACTTGCTGCTGATGATTATTCCGAGCTGGAGATTGCTCTGTTCCCACCATTGTTCTTCTTCAGCTTGAAGAAATAGCCGAGGAAAGAAGAGGAAGGGGGGAGAAGGGGGAGTTTTTAATATATGGGGTGGTTGGTTGAGGAGTTTCTCTGACAGAGGGAAGCAGAGTTGGGAATCTAGGATTTGCAGGCTTGTGTTGTGTATATATTTATAGACAGGGGAGGGGGAAAATGAAGAAGGGAGCCTTTGTATTAAAATCATTTCTCTTTTTTCTTTTCTTTCCTTTTCTTCTTTTGCTGTTCTTCTGCTTATTGTTTGTTTGTTTGACTTGGGGGATTGGAAAGTCTTTGGTTTTGTGGTAGGGATGGAGTAGGACAGACAAGCAAACTGTAGGGAGAGAGAAACAGAGGGAGTGCCAATTGGGTTGGAAATTGATGGTTTTGAGTACGAAGATTAGTTGAATTAGAGCCTAATAGTAAGGTTCAATGACATAAATGGTCTCTAAACATTAGGTTATGTTTTCCGGTGAGAAAACTTCTTGTGTTGAATTGAGATGGATTGCACTTTTGACTTCTTTGGACAACGATTTCTAGGACACGGCTCAAACCTCTTCAAACAAAGTTCGAACGAGGGTGTTTGATTGATGGTTTTTGGGAACGAGATCTAAATTAAATTACTTCTACTCCTATGGAGGATCGGCGAGAGCTCCAAACTACGAACTACATCTATGGCTACATGATAGAGAAAATAAAAGGGATAAACTTGACATGTGTGTCAAATAGTTGGTTTTGGAACCTCTGTCTCTGTCGACCCCTCCTCTTATTTATAGCCACGAGGAGGTAACCGCCATAGAATACCGCTTGTTGGATAACTGCTACAAAGAACCGCTCCTCCTTCTTCGGTAGTAAACCGCCTCTTGGACAACTCCCAAAATGAACCGCTCCTTGCTTCCTCGGAGTGGTGGTTACTCCTTCAACCACCTAGGTGCCTCTCTTGGAACCGTCGTGGGTTTTGGAGTGTAGCTTGCCTCGCCTGGTCTTGTTCTGAATCTCGTGTCATGCTAGTCTTTTGACGAGCATGTAGTGTCTCGCAAAGGGGGTCTTGGTCTTCTTGCTTCACGGCCATGGACTTCTTACTCATGTTCATGGCCTTCTTGTCTCGCGGCCATGGACTTCTTACTCATGTCCATGGCCTTCTTGTCTCGCGGCCATGGACTTCTTACTCATGTCCATGGCCTTCTCGTGAGGCGGCATGGCCTTCTCAGACTTAGTATATTTTGGATCATGAGGCGACATGGCCTCCTCATTTGCAGCCATGGACTTCTCAGTCATGTCTGTGGCCCTTCTCGTGACACAACATGGCCCTCTCATACTTACTATCTTTTCTTGCGTCCATGCCCCTTCTCGTGAAGTGGCACGTGCTTCTCCTTGAAGTGGCATGTACCTCTTCCAGACTTAGTTTATTTTTTAGTCATTAGGCCTTGGTCATGGGGCGGCATGGCCTCTTCGTTGAGGCGGCATGGCCTCTCTTTAGACTTAGTGGCTTGGGCCTAAAATCAATATCCATAAGGCCCAATTTAAACAACATTAATTGTTATAATGGGTGTGGCCTTATAAACACCTTGATTATCTTGTAACTCACCAATGTGGTACAAGACAAATTTTATGGTGTAAACAAGTTATTAACAAATCAGTCCCTAAACCTCCTTATCTAATGACCATGTTTGTTTATGTGCGTATGATTTTTGTATGAAAGTCCTTAATGATATGTTAGGTTTAACCATAGTGAACCTATGTAGTCAACTTGACTGCCCATCTTGACTCATACATGATCAAAATCAAACTCATTAGTCATTATTGATGCCCAATTTTTATAAACCAATATGCTCAAATTCATCTTTCCACTCTATAGCTAATTAGAGGGTATGTCTTTAACCTATTGCTTTGATAATTTATTTGATAATATGGGTTATTTTGCATGGAAAGCTTGACGGAATTAGATAGAGTTGACTATAATGTTAATTAGCTCGAACTTTTGTAGAAAGTTTCAAAGTTAATAACCAGTTTGTTAGAACCTTGAAGTTTGGTGATCGTTGTTGTAAATAGGCTATGCCATTCTAAAAGGGTTTGTCATTTGTGTGTGTGTGAAGTGTGAACTCCTTTGCCTCCTTTCCTCTCCAAGTTGCCTTGTGGAAAATTCCGCGGCAACTACCTCAGCCTGCTCACTTTGCTATCTGGCTGTCCCACATCCAGATTATGTGGGGGCATATATCAGGCATGAATAAGAGATCTTTTCTTTCGGTAATCTTCCAACATTAGGTTCAATAGCTAGACAAGGTTGAATCATCACTTCATAAGTTCTTATAAACAAATTTCGATTTGGAATAAGTTATACGATTTGAAAGCATTTAATTCATTTCATTGAAATTCTAAAGTTTATATTCTTCATGAAAGCAAACCTTCATAGAACATATATCAAAATTATTGTACCTGAGTTAAACTATTCAGTTATTAGATATCACAAGTGAGTCTCTTAGTCAAGGATATATGAGCTTTCAACCTCCTACAACAAGTTTCTTAGACTCCTCTATTTTTTTAAGGGTGATATAGATTACTTTTTTTTTATTAGATATTATTACAAAGACTCGAACATGGGATCGCCATGTTAAAATTTAGTGGTAATATCATTGATATTAGAATCCTCTATTTTCTTTAACTACAAGCCGTATGCCCCCTAATATTACTATTCAAACCAATTTCTCCCTCTCTCAAACTAGACAGACTAAATGAATAGGAGAATCAACAAGAAACACCAATATACATACTTGAATAAGAGAATTACGTACTTACAAGGTTTAAGGTTCTAAATTACGTACTTGTTTGATACACAACATGAATAAGATGAGTTTATGAACAAAAGTTACAATGGGTTAAAACTTGAGAGAATTATGCCCCCCCCCCCCCCCCATTCTCAATATTAAAGTTAGTCATTAAAGTGTTTATCACGAAATATATCAACTTGACTCCGTGGCCCAATGGATAAGGCGCTGGTCTACGAAACCAGAGATTCTGGGTTCGATCCCCAGCGGAGTCGTCATTTTTGTTTACTGCAGTAACTTCTTTTAACTTTTCTGCAGTTCCTGCAATGACGGTTGGAGCACTGCGGCCGGAAATAAATGAATGCAAGATGAAATGAATGATACAAAGACAATTATTATTACTACTAAAGTGATGGCCAATTCCTCACATGATCCATCACAGCACTTTGGAAACCCTTTTCTCCCCATTGCCAACTTGATGGAGTACAATTTGTTGCGATAACAATTAACAAGTGTCTGGAATTTCACGTGGAAGCTTAATTTTCCACCACTTTGGACGGATTTCCTGCTTCGGTGGAGGAGCTTGAAATGCGTTTCTCTTGTGAGCTTTTTCCACCACTTTGGCGAAACAATTGATCCAGACAGTTTTATAATGTCACATGTCTCGTTGTTCCTTCATCTTGGGCTAGCTAGCTAGTTGGTGGAATGCTCCTATAGTTGTGTGATCATAATTGGCCAAGGTACTCTTGGTTGAAGTAGTACTTTTAACTAAATGCACTTCAAGTTTATTAATGCCATGAACAAGTGTTACAAAGCGGTACATGATTGATGCTTGAATGATTATCTCTCTCACTCACTAATTTGAGTTTTTAGGGGTGTTATGGGGACAGGTTACGGTGATTACTACAAAAATAAATGCACTTCAAGTTTATTAATGCCATGAACAAGTGTTACAAAGTGGTACATGATTGATGCTTGAATGATTATCTCTCTCACTCACTAATTTGAGTTTTTAGGGGTGTTATGGGGACAGGTCACCGTGGTTACTAAGGGTAAATTGGGTATGGGAAAATAAATTATATTAATTAATTTTTTTAATAAATTACATTTTAGGTAGTTAAAAAATCTATTAATTAAAATTCTCTCTTTCTCTCACTTCCGTAATCTCCAGCCATATTTTCTTTCCATATTTTTCTCAATCTTTCTGCAAAAAAAAAAAAAAAAACACGAAATCAGTACCAATCCATTAGACAAACACTACCACTTTGAAAAACATCAATACCATTGCAGAAATAAAACTATATCATTACACGAAAACTACCATTGCAGAAATAAATCTATACCATTACACGAAAACTACCAATATAAACAATCAATACCATTGTAGAAATAAATCTATACCATTACACGAAAACTACCAATATAAACAATCTATACCATAAATAATCAATACCATTGCAGAAATAAATCTATACCATTACACGAAAACTACCAATATAAACAATCTATACCATTCCATATAGTAACCAATACCACTGCACATTGACATGATTGCTCCCAGATCGTGAAAACATCTAATACGACACGAAACCTCAAGACTCATGAGGAGTTCAGTTGTATGAAAAGGTATGAAATTTATATCCAAAGTACTAAACTCGAATTCACCAGAACTTGCAATACCACTGCACATTGACATGATTGCTCCCAGATCGTGAAAACATCTAATACGACACGAAACCTCAAGACTCATGAGGAGTTCAGTTGTATGAAAAGGTATGAAATTTATATCCAAAGTACTAAACTCGAATTCACCAGAACTGGAACCAATTTCAAATCCCAATAATTCAGGATCGTCCATATAAAATTGCCTAGCTCAAAAACTTGCAATGGCAGTTGAAAGTCGAACCTTGGTCCCGCGCTGGCGGATGATGATAGCTCCGAGCTTGGCGAGCTGGTCTCCGAAGATTTTGACACTAAGGCGCTGGCCGGGAGAGTCATGCCGTTCTTGGTGCTTCCGGATCCCTTCTTGTGAGCCATTTCAATCGTCAAGTGGTACGGCGGCTGCGACGGGTTTGGCTTAAGGGAGGATAGAACTAGGGTTTAGGTAGATTATATAGAATAATCAGGTGTGGTCACTTTTTAATTTCCAAAATTACCCTAAAAGTATCTTGACCGTAAGATTAAAAAAGAAGGAAAAATAATTAATCAAATGGTATATAAAGAGGTTGCCATCGTGATTACTAAAAAACAAGTAATCACCCTAACCCATTCCGGGTGTTATGTGTTTGGATCCTAGCTCGATGTCCAATGCTAGCAAGTTGGGGGAGATTAAAGAATGGATCTTATTATATTATTATCTTACA